TTAATATAGTCCAAATCCCTCACAATACGGGCTTTCTGTAGTCTGTGTAGACTTCATGTAATGCATACTTCAAGCAATCGAGATTCTCTGCAGAGTTTTTCGCATTCTAATAGTGCAGATTTTTCACATGTTACGTGTTTTAGCTGATTATGGTGTTCTATTTCATAATTTTGTTGAAGTTTTTCTAGATTTTCAGGTAATTATTACGGTCTGAGGAGATTTAGATAAACATTTGAATTCAAACACAACAAAACAAAGAACTTGTGCCTAAGATGACCGAATCGATTGATCTTAGTCTTGGATCATTCGATCTAGACAATTTTTGCTAATAGAGGATGAACCAGAAAAGAATATAGCTATTAGACTTTCAAGTTTTTTAATATTGAAAATAATTCTAAATCCCCGTATAATGCCGACCAAAACAATAAACAAACTTTCAATATTCCCTCCATTTCATTATATATGATGTTTTAGAGAAATTTTTTTGTTTCATTTTATTTATTGATGTTTTCAGATTTCTATGTAAAAATTAATTGTGTTTTTGTTGTTTTGACTGTTTAAATTGTGCAAATTGTTTTTTCATTGGTTGAATTGTTTTGAAATTGATGATAAAACATGTTTTGTATTGAAAAATTAAAAAATTAAATGCTTTCTTAAACATCATATAAAATAAAACAGAGGGAGTATTAACAAAATAATAATAAGTTCTTGGTGCACAAGTATGTTTGACCACTCGCATTTCTTGTGCCCCAAACACATTAATTGGTAATCCCATCAAGTAAATGTCCCTGACATATACACACATTGGTAATTAAACTCTACGATTCATCAAGTCTCCTATCAAACTTTGACAAAATTAAGAGGAAAGGTCGTCAACACGACATCGTTCGAACGTGGGTTATTCTTCCGTTGGACCTTAATCCACGACCCATAAACCAATTCGTGAACCGGTTCGATTCATCACCATCTTTTGGGGTATTTGCCAAAGTGTCATCAAAACCGACTAACCATTCGAAATTCACCGGAAAATGTGAAAGGTCCAAGTGTAGTAACTGCCACGTGTCGCCGGCTACCAAGTCGGCGAACAAGTCCAAGGGTCTTCATAAGCTACAAGCAACAACTTGGTGGGCTGAGGATAAGCAGGTAAACCGGCTCATGAGGTCCGACTCGTCCTCTTCTAGAAGTATTTTTGATAA